TGTTACTGAGAATCAAACCCAAGGGCCCTCTACCACTGAGCTACACCACCAGCCCTTTCTACTATTATTTATTTTGAGACAGGCAATTTTCCAGGAAGTTCTCAAACTTGGAATCTTCCTTCCTGCCTTGGCCTCTTGAGTAACAGGGATTCACACCCAGCTCCCTCTGGAGGATTCTTCCCCCAATCCATAAAAGATGATGGATTCTGGGACCTGGGTCTCTGAGTAACAATGGTGCAAAATCTCTCTGCCAGTCTGCGATGGGCCTGTAGCATTGGCAAGAAATAAACTCATTGTTTTTACCCGCTGCTTTTGGGGTTTGTGGAAGCACAGTCTAGTCCATCTTGGCTGATACAGGTTACTTCTTCATTTTTGTAGCCTCAAATACTTTGTCCAGTTCTTAGCACGAAGCAAATACATAAGCAATAATTCACATTACAGTTTTTTTGGGGGGGGTTATGAAACTGGCTTCAAAGAACAAGCAGATGTTCTAACACACACTTTTGTATCCCCAACTACTTCCCTGGTGATACAGGACACCCTGGAGGTGCCCAAATGTCCTTGTGAGGAGGCTATAGATGTCATCTTCTGTGAACTCTTAACAGCTCAGGCAAGCTGCTGGCTGGATCCCAGTAATGAGCTGCCATCACCCACTTGCCCTGGCAAAGGCTGTGTGTGTGGGGGGGCTAGTGAACCGCTCAACCCTCAGAGCATCTCCTCAGAAAGGCATCATGGCCAATTTAGTCCACTGTTCACCTGGTTCTCAAGCATGTTTCTCCCTTAATAGGACCAGTAAATTCACATTGCTATCTAAAAAGGGAGTTCAGTACCCCATACAGTTAGCCTCACTGGACTTGGGCAAATGGGGTAAGAGTGCCAGTGGTTTTGGACTACACATCAGGGAGGATGTGGGCCATAGATTCTAGCTGTTGTATTCACGGGGTCCCATATCTCCCCTCAAGTCTCCTGGCTTCCAGCCCTTGAGACAGTAGCTTCCAGATGCTTTGAGATAATGGGTCTTTGGCTCCTTCTCCTGGGGGTCCCACCTCAAGACGGTGTAGAGCATCTGGGGCAGTAAGAGGTGGGCAGAAGATGTGGAACAGTTGCAGTAAATATTGCAGGAAACAGGGCCTCCAGGCCTCTCCCTGCTACCAAGTTTCCAGGATTTGATACTCCTCAGACCACAGTTTGCACACCCCCAGCCTGCATCTTCTTTGGAATACTTTGTTCCTCACAAGCCTGATGTGACTGCCAACTTATCCAAAAACTGTATGACAAGGTCCAAATCTGAGACAGCCTTGTACATTGCAAAAACCTCATCGCATCTATTATTCCCTCGGATCTTGATAGACCTACCAGCGAAAGGAGAAGATTATATTACTGTCCATGTTCAATGGTGGATGAACTGAGACCCAAAGAGGTGAAAAAATTATCCCAGTCCACATAGAAACCTGGTAGAGCAGTTTGGAGCCTGATGGGCCTCCAGGCCCTATGATCAGTTTCCGGTTTGCTTTCCAACAGTGTTCTGAGGGAAAAAGATGGAGGAAGCTGTCCAGGAGTTTCACATGGAGGCATACAAGGGCACTGTGACTGCTGAGGTTGTCAACTTGGTTGGATTATGAGACTCCAGAAAAGGTGACTGGATCATGGGCATACTGTATTCATCTGACTCCTATTGATGTTCTCAGCTGAATGTGCTGTTAGGAGATGGGGCCCAGTTGAAGGCAAGTTGCTGGGGGGTGCCTTTGGAGGGTATATCTCTCACCGGTGCTCTTCCCCACTCTACTTGAAGTGAGCAGCTTTGCTCCACCACACACTTCTGCCATGTTTCTCCCTTGAAGCCAGCTGCCTCTGGACTGAAACTTGGGAAACTGTGAGCCGAGTAAACCTCTCCTCCTCTCAGTTGTGGGTGTTGGGTGTTTTGTCCCAGTAATAGAGCTGACCAATAGAGGTACGCGCATGCGCGCGCACACACACACACACACACACACACACTCAGATTGCTGGTCCCACTAGCATGAGTATCATGGAGGCTGTGAGAAGTCCAAGGAGGAGGCCAGAAGAAACTCTGTTGAGCTGGTTCCTGACCGCTGATGACCCAGCTGGGGGTTGCCAAGGTGCCTGGGAACCAGGAAAGGCTGTAGCAGCCAAGCCTCACCCTGGCCTTTGCTTCTCAGGTACACAAGTGGATGCTGGTGGCTGAGGAGCTCCTCAGGGGGAACATGCAGCAGACTGTGGGCTCCTGGAGTTCATCTGGCCCAAATTTTCATAACTGGATTCCTGAGCATGGGGCCTGCAGACAGAAGAAGGTTGACTGACCAGCCAATGTGGAGGGCTCTGATTTCCTAAACTGTACCCTAGGAGTAGGCCAAGGGGACATGAGATAGTGGACAACAGGAGACAAGAGATGGGAACCAAGAGGGCTGGGGGACTAAGTGAATGTCAGAGACTGGGCAAGAGTGGGGAGGGGGCTGCTGTAGGTGACAGCATCCTATACCACAGAGTCTCTGTTTCCCAGAAGTGATTTTGTCAGAGGTTTCACAATCCAACTCAATGTGGCTGACCTCCAGACCCAAGTCTCTGGGCCTGACCTCTTGAGCTCTGCTTTCCAGACTTCTTCCTGGGACATATTAATGGGCACCTCAGTCCTCCATGTCTGCCTTACTGCATGATCTCCACACCCCACCCTCTCTTCTCTCACCTCATCATCCCAGTAAGTAGCCCCCAGGCCCAAGCTCTACCCTAAGGCATCCTGGCTCCCTCCCTCACCACAAGCTGTCCACTTTGCCCTTGGGTCAGCACCCCTGCCCATCTCCCTACCCCTAGCACTGACCCTTCTGTCCAAACGGCACACAGCCCCCCAGATCTGATCTCCTGGATCCTCTTGTCCAGGTGGGGCTGCTCACCTGCTTAAACCACCCAGTGACTTCCTATCACTCAGAATAGCCCCACAGCATCGGCTGTCTAGGTGCCCACCCCAAGCTCCATGCTCTGACCACACCTGACTCCCTCCAGACCCACTGGCATCTTTCCTCTCATCTCTCCCCTTTTTGGAGTTGGCTACCCCAGGCTCAGCCTCCGGCTTCACGCCCCTTCATGCCATGTCCTCAGAGAGAACATCCTGATCTAATGGGGCTCTGCTTCACCTCTCCCTTCACATTGCTTATTTTACAATCTAAGATAATCATTTTTCTGTGTTTATTAAATTTCTCCCTGAAAAGTGAGTTCAGAGATTTTTCTGTCTCTTAAGCATCCAGACCAGTGCCTGCTACATAGAAAGTACTAGAAAATTGTTAAATGCAATAGACTTTCTGATTCAGGGCTCTTGGTGTGATAGTAAATTACACAAAAAAGGGACATGTGACAAGTTATGGAGACTTCAGGAGATGCTCAAGCAGGCAGCTGGAGAGAAGGCTGGGCTCCTCTCAGCCCCACCCCAGCCAGCATCAGGCACAGAGCACCTAGGTCCAGAGCTGCTTTCTTTCTCCTTTAGCACCGCACTGGCCTCCATTTGGGCAGACACCACAGGGAAGGCGAGCATGGCTCTCCTGTCAATGGCCTCATAGCTGGGGTTCACAGGCCCCTCACTGAAGCCAGGCCCTTGGAACCTGATGAGATTTTGTTTGGGAAGACTTTAGCTGTGCCTTGGAGAACAAGTGTCCCTGTGGTGGCTTCTGTGTGGGACTGGCTGTTTTAGAATGCTGGGGAAGATAAGAAGAAACATCCTGGAAGTGAGAAGGTATCACAGTCAGCACCACGGATACCAGGCCCTGAGTGTGGGTGGTGTGAATGAACAGTTGGTCAGCGTGGCCTGTCTGTCCAGGGAAGGGGGTGTTGGACTGAGGTGGGCTGCTTTGGCAGGAAGACCCTGGCTCTGCCCTGGGCCTCTTCTTTCTCCTTATGCCAGTTATGAGAAAGCTCGTATCCCTTAGCCAATGGGACTAGGTACAGGTGAGCCGGGTGAGGCAGTGAGCACACTTACCATGGATGGGTGTCCTGGGTGACCGGGAGCTCTGTGTGAGGGACAGAGAGAGGAACAAGTCTGTATTGCAGCCTCCAGCCTCCAAGCCTACTACCACCGCCCACCCCACCCTGATAAAGGGCCCCAGGGAAGCATGGAACAGACCACAGACAGCAGGCTCTGCAGAAGTGTCACTGAGACCGCCACCTGAAAGCTGGCTACAAGTTAATGTGGACAGAGGTACAGTCTGGGGGCGCTCAAGCACAAACGCTTAGTAAGTTTGAATAACCAGCAAGAAAGCCAGGTGGCCAAAGTAAGGGTGGCAGTCATGACACCCTTGACAAATTCTAGATTTCATGCCTAGAGAGTTTGACCTGGGAGGACTGGACACTCTGGGAAGTCCCTCCCTCTTCAGAACACGCAGAAAATTTTCCACGCAGTTCAGTGACCAAAGTTCGTGGCAGCAATCTAAGGATACCCTTTGGGTCTGAGCTGCCACACTTTTGCCCATGCTGTGCTTCCTGCCCGGTGCACCATCGGCTGCTTGTATCCCAGCTCATGTGTATTAGCTTCATATCCTGTGTAAGGCCTTCCTTCTGGTCCCACCAGAATATGTCATACCATTCTCTGCCATCTACAGTTTCTGGAGTCTAGGGGGTCCCCTTCTTAGAGCCTGCTGCCATGATCTGCTGACTCAGCCCCCCTTGGAGGGCAGGGAACCCAGCCTTAGGCATCTCAGTATTCCCAGCAGCCCTGCAGCACAAACCAGGCCCTGGAGGCTTGTGACACAAGGAATGGTGGTGCTGGGGAAAGCCTGCAGTGAGAGCTGCGCAGAGCACTTTCATAGGGCAAAGGGAGCTCCAGAGTCCAGGCTCTGATTCCCGGGTCCAGGGAGAAGAACGTGAGCTGATGCACAGGTGCAAAAAGGACGCTATGGTCCCTCATGCTGGGTGGGAGGTCAGCCACATGGCCTTACCTGAGAGAAGAGCCCGGCCCTCCCCTTGCACCCATGCGGATCCAGGGTGCACCCACCTAGGCGGCGGCGGGCAGCACCCGCAGCCAGAGCGCCGAGCAGCAGGAGCGCCTTGAGGCCCAGCGCGCCCAGCAGGAGCGCGATCGCCGAGGCCCCGCTGGTACCGTGGAAGCGGAACAAGTACACGCTGGCCTCCGCGCGGCCCAGGTTGTTGGCGGCCGTGCACGTGTAGCGCCCGTCGCGGCTTAGCGCGGGCAGCTCGGCGGTCACCTGGTAGCCGTGACCTGGGCCCTGCAAGGCGGCCGAGATATTGCCCAAGGCCGCGCTGGACCAGGTGAGGGCGGGCGGAGGCTCCCCTTCGGCTGTGCAGAGGGCGCGGAAGGCGTGCGCCGGGCCGGGCACCACTGAGATATTGACGATCCGCGGCGCGGCTGCTGGGGAGAAAGCAGGCGGCGGTCACCGAGCAGCGGCCAAGGCTGGGGAGGGTGAGAAAGCAGGGCGCAGAGCGCGAACAGCCGGCAAAGGCAAGGATGCCTCTCCCCGGTGCGCTTCGGAGGAGTGGGAGGGGGCTCAGAGAGGAGGAAGTGGGCGTCTGGGTGCCAAGTCGCCTGGGTCCCCAACACAAGTGTGGCTTCGGCAAGCCATTCTGCCTCTCTATGCCTCAGTTTCTCCATGTGTAAAATGGAAATCACAGTAGCACTTACCCTATGGGGTTGTTGAGAAAACTTGGCAAGTTAATCCCATTGGGGCATTTGGAGTAAGGCCTGACGCCATAGCAGGTGCTCGCTAAAGGGTCGTTATTGTGATGCACAGCTGGGGCCTGAGTGGAGAGCCACTACCTGGGGACTGGGACCCTGGCTCCAGTATCTTCGTATCTTTGGGTCTAGTACAGTGCCCACCGCTGGCGAGGGTCCCGTGCGCCCCTGCGGGTGCACGCAGCCCTTGTCACAGGGTCGTTCACTCGTTTTACCCTCCCCTTGGTCTGCGAGCTACTAGGGACAGCCACGGTCCATGGGCTGCATCACAATGCCTATTCCCGGGCCCAGCCCAGCTCCTTCTGGGACCAGGCTTACTTTGTGGCCCCCCTCTCCCTGGGAGAGAGGAGAGGGGTCGGTTCTGGTGGACTTCTATCGCGAAGGCGGCACCGCGCCTGGCACCCGGACAGCCCGCCAGACTGGGAAGGCGGGAGAGGTTCGGACCCGGGCCCGCCTCACCGGTCACGCGCAGCCGGACGCCGTGGCGGCTCTCGTAGCGGTCGTGGATGTCGCCGGCAAACTCAACGCGGCAGAAGTAGCGTCCGGCGTCGGCCAGGGTGAGGCGCTCGACGCGCAGGGACAGGTCGTTGCGGCGCGGGTTACCCAGCAAGCGGAAGCGGCCGTGCAGGCTCAGCGCAGTCTGGCAGAGCTCGCTGCCGCGCGCCGCCGCACATCGGAACACCTGCGGGCCTGCGTAGGGCTCCCCTACGCGCCAGATGGCCGTCAGCGGTCCCTCGTAGTGGCGGTGCGGGTGCGTGAAGGTGCAGGACAGCACCGCTGCGTCTCCTGCCGCTGCGCTCACTTCGGCCGGCACCTGCATGGACCAGCGCTTCGCCGGCGCGCCTGTGGGCGAGGCGGGCATCAGGCCTGGCCTGAGACCCCCGGGGCCCTGGAAACCCCAGGACTTAGGAAGCGTCCCGGGGGAGGGGGGTGTCTGGAAACACGGAGGCTCAGGACAACTCCGGTGTCCAGAACCCCACTTCCTGACTGGAGAAGAAGCTCCCAAACCCTGCACTCCCACGAGTGGCTAGGGGAGTCCCTGGCCTTTCTCCCTGTTCCTTGGGGCTCTTTGCCTCATTCAGGGAATTCGGCCTCCTCCACAGGCTCAGTGAGCCCAGTCTTCTCTTTAGCTTTTCCCATCAAATCCTGCCCTGCTGCTCTGGAGACCCCCTGGTATCCCGTGGCTATAGCAGTCTCGGGATTCCCAGGAAGATGGTAATAAAATTACTTACTGTGCATCTCTGTGTTGAGCACGTTCCCAGTAGTATCTCTTTTAGTTCTTACAAGTGATCCTAGAGGTAAGCATAGTTATCCCTGGTTACATGTTAATAAACTGAGGCACAGAGAATTTGAGTAATTGTCTGAGGTCACAGGGTTGTTTGGGGCAAAGCTGATGTTCAATACAGACTGCCTCACTCCACTGCCTGCAGGAAACCTTGGGTTCATCTGAGGTCGACAACATTCCCTCTTAGAGATGGAAAACTGAGGCCAGGGAAGGGACAATGTTTGACACCTAATGTTTTGAGATGGTGGGTGAGATTCCTCCCCAGTCCAAGTCAACCCAAGTAGATTGCCCTGGCTGGCTTCCCAAAACGCTAGTGCCCAGGAAGGGAGCTGAGAAGCCAGTGTGCTGGGCTACCAGTAGCCTAGGCTACCAGTAGCTCCTGCCTCCTGGCTGCCTGCAGGCATGTGCCTCTGAACTCAGTTTCCCCTCCTCTGACCCTGTGCTGCAACATGTTGAGAGCAGGTCTGGAAGCTGAGCTCTGCCTACAGCTCATCTCAGGGCCTGTGAACCACACAACCCCATGTAATTGCTTCTTTAGTGTGGGTCAGGCCAGGGTGGTACCTCCATAAGATAGTGTTTTGCTAAGACTGCCCAGCCTGTGCCCTGGGTGGGGGGCAGTCCACAAGAGATCTTTAGAGGGAATAATGCTGGGCACTGCAGTTACACAGTTCTTTTCCTGCATACCATGTTGTGTGATTCTCAGAGCACTCCAGGAAGAAAGGCAAGGTAGATATTGTTATAGATAAGGAAATGACCCAGGTTTATGCAGGTAGAAAGTAGGAAAAACCCAGATTTTCTGACTGCTTTTTGCTCCATGAGGCATTTTAGCCCGATTCATTCCTTGGGCAGAAATACCCTCAAGCCAGCACCGGAAGACCATCCACTGGTGAATAACCCACAGGTCAGGATATTTGTCCTGCGCAGAACCTGTGTCTGTTGACACCCACATGGTTGCCGTTGCTGAGTGGAGCATGCAAATCCTCTTCCTGTGGTGACCCTCTCGAAGCCCTAGATGGCTGTCCTGAGCCTATTCATTACACCTTCCTTTTCAGATGGAAAAGTCACACCTCACTTGGCCCCGCCCCTGTCCTCTCCTTCAGTGCAGTGTCCTGATCCAGGCGGCCTCAGGTGACCCCAGTTGTGCTGCACCTGCAGAAAGGCATGAGTCCCATGGAGCTGCCCAGGCTTTGGGAGCTGTGCCTCCAATAAGATCCAACTGCGGGCTCATGCCCAGCCTGCCCTCAGGTAAAACCACCAGTTCTGTTTTCATGACAATCTGTTTTTAGGACTAATCTCTTTTTTTCTGAACAAGTATAATTATGTTTTTCAACTCAAGTGGAGGACTTGCCATTGATTCCTAGTAAGAACTTGTGTGTTCAGTTATTAACAATCAAAGGGCCTTTTCCAAATTTGGAAAACCGTGTCTGAAGGTCATGCAGGTTTGGTCGGTACTTCTAGCTACTGAAACCATCTCCCAGTTTTAAGGTTCAGATTCTACCTCAGTGTCCCTGCCACTTCCCACCCTCTGTGACCTCCACTCCTCCCTCTGATGATCTGTTGCATCCTGCAGGAATCACAGAGCCAGGCACTGATTCCCCATGTTTGCTATGTATTCATCACTTCAGCATTTGGACACTTTCCCACTCCATACCAGGCACCAGGCTATGAACAGCAGGGGCAAAGATAAACAAGATACCTTTCCAGCCTGCTGGAGCTCACAGCTCAGACAGGCAGACAGCTCTGGGAACACAGTACACTGCTGTCTGCAGATGAGCTCTAACGATGGATGTGAACAGTATTGCTCTGTCTGAACATGATTCCTGGCCCATTTCACTAACCAGCTTCCTCCCATTCATTCTCAGTCTTTCGCTGAGTTGTCCTCACAGCAGGAGGCCTTCCATGAAGCCCAAGCCTGGCTCTGGGATCCCTCTCCTGTGTCCCCCATGGCTGGCATGGGCACTTCCTAATTTGGGCATTGCCTGTGTGTCTCGCCTAAAGCTCTTAGAGGGCAGAGACTGTCTATGCGGTCCTATTTGTGTTGTTGTTGCCTAGCACCATGTCTATCTCCTAGTAATTGATGCTGAACTGAATTGCTATGAGACAGCAGAAGGGAGGGGTCAGGCTGGCCGGAGAGGGCAGGGTGGGTGGAGAGAGGTGTAGAGACATTGGGCAGTCGGGGATTGGCAAATCCATGAAAGAGGAGATGTCGGCTTCCTGTTTACCTGTTGAATGGGGTTCAAAGAGGTGGGCACTGGAATCCCTCTGTCACAGAGACCTTTGGATGTGGTTGCCCAGGGGATTTAAAGTTAGGGTGAGGGTGAGAATTGCCCAGGGACAAAGGCATTTGCTTTGGTAGAGGCCCAAGCTCCCTAGCATCCAGTGACATTTAGCATTGCCTCTTGCTGCTCCTGCCTGTCTGCTGAGACAGAGCAGGGATGATGCCTGAATTGGAACCTTGGCCCCTTACTGCAGGGTCTCTAATCTGCCTGCCTCATGTCTGTCAGCCTCCAGGGGACAACAGGAGGTGCAAAGCCTGCCCACTTGGGGACAGATGGCATAGGTGACCCTCTCACCTCAGGGCATGCTTTCATCAAGCACCTTATTTGTGGCTGGCACTGTTCTAGGCTCCTTCATGAACTGGATGATCTTCAGGCAAATTACTGATATTCCAGGTCTCAGGCTCCTCTGCTGTGAAATGGGGAGCCATTGGCTTCCTCAGAGGACTGAACAGAACCATGTAGGTCAATCATCCCAATGTTCCTGTGCACAGCACAGGCTCCTCTCCATTAGGTCCTTTCCCTCATGAGTCTTTTGATTGACGTGTGGGGTGAGCAGAGGGATAGGTAGCTCCTACGCAGCAGGGAAGATACACCCAGGCTAATGGTGCAGCGGGGGTGGGGGGTGTCACACGCTCCTACCCTGACACGGAATCCTTGGCAGTTGTATGGGGCATTTTAGACCAGCTGGAGCAAAATAGTCCAGTTCTTGTCCTTAGCTCACCTGGAAACCAATCATTTAGTTATCACTGTATAGATGTCTCTTGAGAGTTTACTGTTGATACAGCCCGAGGGGCAATGCTCCCCTCAATATATTGACAGTCTGGCCAGTGTTCTGTCACTGCTTTTTTTTTTAAGATGGGAATCTCCTTAAGTTGCCCAGGTTGGGCTTGAATTTGTAATTCTCTAGCCTCATGTTCCCAAGTAGCTGGGCTTACAGGTATGTACCACCATGCCCAGCTATGGTTTTTAATTTATATACAGTTCTAACAAGTTTATTTAGTTTTCCAGCCAGGGAAATAGAAATGGAGAAGCTGGAAAGTAGTTTCTATCTGTAGGCTGATTGAAGGCAGCAAGAGGAAATAACAGATGATAATCACTCAAGGTGAAGGGTTCAGTAAAAATAATGAAATGACAGCTGAAATGATAAAAGTACAGCATCAGAGGACCGGCCAGAGAAGGACTAAACCCAGACAGCCCTGAATCACCATGACAGGACAGCAGGCTGGTGCGACAGGTGCACACAGTGATGGTCCGAATCACTGCAAAAGTTGATGTCACACTAGGTATCCCATTCAGTGGGGCACCCTGTGGATGGCATGTCGGGTGTGGTGGGCTCCAGCCTTGGCTCTGAAGCTGACTTTGGGACCTCGAGGAAGTCCCCATAGCTCTCTGGCCTCAGCAGTGTCACCCACAAAATGATGTTTCTAGGTGTTTTCTAAAGTGACTTTTGACTCTAAAAATCTATGTCTGAAAACCAAATGTGGATTACCATGGAAATACATAGAATGTTCTATGACTAGTTAAAAGAAAGCCTTTTGCATACTTAAAAATAAGCCACTAACTAGCTGGCAAATGCAACCACTAGGAAAGATGTACCCACATCTTAAATGTCCTTCACAGCCAATCACTAAAGCACCAAAGCACTGCAGACAGTGGCCTCCTGGTCATCTAAACTGGAGTGGAGCATCTGCATGAGCTCCCACATCATCAGTCCTTAAACTCATGATGTTAGGGAGGAGTTGATCTCCTACCCCAAACCCCCGTGCCAGAGCCACCACAGTGGGGAGAGAACTTATGGAGAAACAACAGGCTGAGCGGGTGTGGTGGCATGCAGGGAGTCCCAGCACTCAGGAGGCTAAGGTAGGAGCATGAGAGTTCAAGACCAACCTGAGTTACCTAGTTGAGTTCAAGGCCACCCTGGGCTATACAGTGAAAACCTGTCTCAAAGGAAATAATTTTTAAAAGGACAGAGTTGCAGAGTGTAGGTAGGGAGAAACCATTGTCTAGGACCAGAAATAGAATTCTTGGTCTTAGCCACAGTTAGCCAAAGGTTTGGGAACCCCTGCAGGGTGTCCATCCCCTGTGGGGTGTTGAATGCAGTCATACTTTGTTAACTCCAAGGGAAGCTGCTTCTCAGTTTCATGGCAGAGGGCAGACAGGTACTTTCTGTGCATTTTTGTTTGTTTATTTTGTTTTGTTTTTTTGAGACACGGTCTGGCTGTGTAGTTCAGCCTGGCCTTGAACTCACTAGATAGCCCATGCTGGCTTTAAACTTGTGGTGATCCTCCTATCTCAGCCTCCCAAGTGCTGGGATCACAGGCATGCACCACCATGCCCAGCTATTTCTGTGCATCTTTTAATGTATTTTATAATGCCTGGGATTAAAGAACCTCCCAAGGTGTCATTGACAGTTAAGTGAGCTCCATGGTGGTCACAGAGGGACAGTGACCAGAGGGGTCACTCTCACAGAATGGCACTTTAACAAGAATTAGGTCTGTTGGGGTGAGCTTCACATTTTCCTGGAAGGAGCAAGTTATGAATTTTGAGTCTGGGGTAGAGATGTCACCAAATGTGCCATCACTGTGGACCGACTGCACCTTCAAGAGGTATGGCACCATGGCACGTCGAACTAGAGTCCCTCAGAGGCCCGCTGTGCTTCTGTCCCCTCCCCCAGACCCAGGCCTGACACTACCGGTTGACAGGCAGCCAATCTGACAAGCCCAGCTGTCAGGGTTATCCTCCTTGAGGCACCTGGTCACGCTAACAAGGGTGTTGTCAGAAAGTGGCTTCAGTGGTGGTCACTGGGCATTGTGGCAAGGGGAAAGAGGTACCCATGTCTCCTGGGTCAGGAGAGGGTGATTTGGGGGCAAGAAGCCATGTTTATCCTCACAAGCAAGCTTCCCCCACGGGAAATGGCTCCAGCTGGGGCACAGAGCCTTTCATCCCATTCCTCCTGCCCCTTGGTTGGCTCCCCAAGATCTCTCTCTGGCTTTCTGTTGACAGGGTGTCAACAGAATGAAGACTGGGGAGGCGGGGAGGGAGAGAAGGGACGAGTTCCATCTATCAGTGTGAACCAGACCGGGAAGGTTCCAGGAAGTGTGAGGGTGAGGGAATGTGAGAAAAGGCTGGCTGGTCTCCACTGCTCTCAGGGTCAGCCCACCTTCCCCTTAACTCTTGTCCCTCCTGCTGAGGGTTGTGGATGTGGCCTGTTCACCTGGGCTGATGGAGCTGCAGAGCCCACGCTGCCCCTATCCCGGGGCCATATCCACCATGAGGCACTGCTCTTCTCCCCGACCTTTCCCTGAATCCCACACAAGCACCCCGAGGGGCTTGGGTGACTGCTGCCATTTGTCTTGCCATCTTGGGTTGTTCTTCTGTGTGGTTCAGAGCTGGTAAAGTAAATAGCTCTCAGGACTAAGCTTTGTCCCAGGTCCCCCCTGTATGGTAGGCAGTGTGAGGAACCAGGAGTGTGGAAGACTCCTGTTCACATCCAAGCAGTGACGCCTCAGCAAGGTCACTGTGGCTCCCTTAAAACAGGGGTAAGGACAGTGCCCTTGCAGGTAGGTTGTAGTGAAGAGTAAATGGGCTGCTGGCCACTGCTCTGGTACAGAGAGCCCTGAGGACGGCACCTACTGAGATTGCCACATCTACTTCTCCCAGGTGTGTGGGCCTACTGAAGCCTGCACAGTAGGCTCAGGTGATCAGAGCTCCCAGACCAATGTTCTTCCGCCTCCCCACACTGCCTGGCCACTCTGGCTTTTTAATTTAAGGAGAAAGAGTAGAAAGAAAGGCAAGGGAGACTGTGAGGGAAACCCCTGAGGGATGCAGCGGCGATGGCAAGCCTTTTGGAGCTTTCAGTGATGACAGCTGGCTGCAGCATGTGTGCCATGGGTTTACCACCACTGGATTAGGGCACTGGGTGCTGGTGGCATGAGCATGAGGGAGGGGGGCATGGGAAGGACAATTCCAGGGATGGATTCCTCCCACTTCTCTTTCATCATGGACCTCCCTTGGGCCATACTTCTAGACGTGGACAAGGCAGTGATGTGACCACTGGGCCCATGTTAGTGGGGCGGCCTGCTCATGGGTCCTAGGATGCTTGCACATGGCAGTAGGGCTGAGTCTGATCCTTAGAGTCTCCTGCCCAGGCAGCAGCCTGTGTCCTCTGGCTGGGCCACATGGGGAGGCGCACAGGTGAGCATAAGTGTTCAGAAAGTGGTGTTCCTGGATCACCCTGGTTCCTGAGCCTTGTGGTTTTAACCACAAAGCAGCTACTGGTGTGTGAAGCACAAGGGTCTCCTCAGTGAGCCGGCCCACACATGTGGTTGGCCTCTCTGACGATTGCCACATACAGCCAGAGCATGTGTGTGGTTTGGCTTTGGTTCTTGAACTTGTGGCTGGCTCATGCTTCCTCTAAATATTTTTGTCTTTAACTGATTCATAGCAGCTGACTTTTAACCAGAGAAAAATAAAGCAAACTCTGACCCAAATCACCAGAGCCTGTCTCTCTTGAGGCAGTGTGATTTCTGCAGGATTTAGCACCATTCATTGTGCAGCTTCTGTGGTCTGGGGGCTACACGGGCCCTGTACCACCATGAGTGAGATGGCCTGCTCCAGGCCCACAGCTAGTGAACAGCAGTCAGGGTTCAAAGCTGTGCCTGACATCAGCACCTGTGTCCTTAACAGCTCAGCTATCTGCCGCCATAGCACTGAGCAGGGTCACTTCCTCCAGCTCCCTCTTAGGGGGACGCAGCCCTAAATCATCCCAGAAAGATGGCTGAGTTAGGTCAAGTGGGAAAAGATAGCCTCTCCCTTATTTTGGTCCCTGCCATGGGACAATGACAGTGTGAGTTGGAGTCACTACAGCAGGATTCATATGCCAGCTCCACCTGCTGCTTGCTGAGCCTGTGTGTGCCATTTCCTCATCTGTGAAGAGGGGATAGGAATTGTTCCTTTTGCACAGGGCTATAGGATTATGAGAGCTAACAGCACCCCGCACTTTGTTCGAACTATATAGGTGCTTTCTAGTACTGTGCAAACCAGACCAGAAATGAACCCCACACCATGTTAAACACTAAAGAGGAGGGAACAGGAGCCTGAGTTGTGAAAGTTTGTCATCCAGGTGTGGAAATGGGATCCCTTACCAAGGACTACTCACAACACCACGATGCCAGGACACAGCACATGATGGCCAGGCACATAGTGGCACAGTTGCATAGTCCAGGGGCAAAGGATAGAAGTAACATTTCTGGCTAGATTGGGGAAAGGACTGGGTCTGCTCAGCAGGGCTCAAGAGAATTCCCTTGGCCATTTATTCTTATTACCCTCAACTGTGTTGGGCATCAGAATCACCTGAGAAGGTGGTTGGAACTGAAGATTCCTGGGACCTGCTACCTGTTACTCTGATTCTGCAGGTCTCAGATGGAGCCAGAGGGTCTGCATCCTTCCCTGAGATTCAGATGCAGATGGTTTCTGGTCTCTCTGGACCTTTTGCAAAGCACTGTGCTCAGGGGCACCAATTCACTGAGCTAAGTGACATTGTTACTTCAGCCTGCCGTGGGTGGTGTTCTCACTCGCCCCTTGGGGTTCCTGTGGGAGGGCAGTGGCCTCCATCTCTGATCCAGTTCCCCACATGAAATCATTTCACCCTTATTCCAGCACTGTCCCCAGACAACTGTGTGCATTTCTTGCCTTGTTCTCAGGGATGTGGCCATCAAGACAAAGCACCAGGGTGGCAGTAACACCCAGAGATTGCAGTCTTCCCCATTCCTGTTCTTTGCCTCTCAGCAATGAGTGGGATAGGTGGCCTTTGTTCAGTGGGGATACTGAGGCCCAGGAAGCCAGGAGACTGCGTCAAATCATCTGGAAACCCAAGGCGAAAGGAAAAAAGAAAAGTCCACATTTGAACTTCTGGCTTCTGTCAGGATAGCCTTCTAAAGCACAGCTTTTCCTCCTACCCAGGTCTGGAAGCTCTGGGCAAACCCAGCTGCTGAGCTCTGAGAAGAGAAGACTATGGCTAAGATTTTATCTATTCTGGGCCAGGGAGGACAGTGGAAACTCACCCATTGGGATGACACAGGCCAAGCAGGCAAGGAGTCGGATGGATGCTTCCATGCTGAAGCATCTGGAGACCCAGCAGTCCCACACCCAGCCAGGTCACCAGTGAGAGCCCCTTCTGCATGAGTGTGGTAAAAGCAGGTAGGGCTCGGTGGGGTGCCCAGGTCTGCAGGCCCCACTGGGCTCTGTGAGCTGGAGGAACTGGGGACAGGCTGCTAGGTGGCTGGTGGTAAGATTACACAGGACCCGTGCAGTTTAGTCATGTGGAAAACTAAGAGGGGAGGTGCTGGATGGTTTTCCAGGGCAGGAGACAGGGAAGTAGATGGGGACCAATCAGGGCCCTTCTCTGTGGCCTCTGGCCTTTGCCTGCCTCCTTCCTCCCTCCCTCCCTCCTTTCCTTCCCTTCCTTCCTTCCTTCCTTCCTTCCTTCCTTCCTTCCTTCCTTCCTTCCTTCCTTCCCTCCTGCCCTCCTTTCCCAAATTTTCAGTGTACCAGGCAGGTTTTGTCTCCCTCCATCCTCTTCTTTTCTCCTCTTCCTTACTACCTACCGGTGAGATTTTGGCAAGATGTAGAAAAGGACTGAGGGGAGGAGCCTGTCAACACACTGAGAGATAGGAGACTATGGGGAGTTGTCAGTATTTGCAGGAAAAAGACTGATCTAGCTATAATTCACTTTTGTGACCAGATTTCCCTCCAGAGAACCTGAAGTTTTAGAACAGCACTTCTAAAACTTTCATAGTCATAGGATCATCTGGGGGTCTTATGAAAATGTGGATTCAGGTGCATTTGGTCTGGGGCTGATAGGTAATCTGCATGTCTAACAAATCCAATCCCACTTCTGCAGCAGAGTGAAGAGGCCACCCTGGGGACTGCTGGGTAGCATTATCAAGTAGAAGTCAGGACCCTGGGAGGGGACAAAGAGGCAATTCTAGAAGCTTATTGGATGGGCTCTTGGTTGAGGGTGGCAATGGTGAGACCTCAGGGACTGGAGTTGGAGCTGGATTTAATCTGTCTGATGGTCGATATCTTTTCTGGTAATGGTGTGAACTTGTACCCTCTCACCCCATGCAGAGGTTATATTAGCAATGTGGTTCATCTTTTGGGTCCTTCCCTATGTTGCACAGCAGTGGAGTCTACAACCTTAAAGGCTAAGAGATAAAATGAAATGTGGTTTTTATTTTTTAATTAATTTATTAATGTATTTATTTTTGAGATGTGCTTTTTTTTTTTTTTTTGGTACCGGGGATCAAACCTGGGTCCTTTTGCTTGCACAGCACGTGGCAAAACCACTGAGCTAAATCCCCGGCCCTGAGATGTGCTTTTTAAAGCTTGTGAAATTCACTGGGCATGACGGCACATGCCTGTAGTCCCAGCACTTCGATGGCTGAAGTAGGGGAATCAAAAGTCTGAGGCCAGCCTGGGCTAGATAGCTAGACCCTGTCTCAAAGAAAAAAAGAAAAACACAAAAACAAAAAGCAAACCCCCAAACAAAACCCAAAGCAACAAGAAGAAGCTTGTGAAGTTTACATAAGACAAAATCTGTCACTATTTAAAATCAAGGTGGCAGGAGCAAAATGTTCTCCTAAGAGGCTATCGTAGTGGTGATTTGCAGTCTCTCCAAGAGCAAGTGGGGAGCCCTAATTCCCCCAGTTTACTTGTGAGAGCCAGAGACAGAGTTTCCTCAGTGATGGTGGATCTTGGCTTGGTTGGGCCTCTCGACTTCATTTGTACCTTCTGTCTTGGAGGTGCCCTTCAGTGCACAGTCCTACTCCAAATCTGAGTTCCAATCAGAGGTGATCTTTGGAAAATCTATGGTGCTAGTGTTGAAAGCAGACCTGGACACTGTGTGGAGGGGGCAAGTGTTAGAGGGTGGATGGAAGATCACCTCACCAGGACGGTGAGCACACCCTCTGCCCTGGGGCTTTTGCAGCTAGCTACACAAATCAATCTCTATTTCTCTCGACCTAAGTCCCCTATTGCTATTGAAATAAAATCTGGGCTGATGGCCACTTGAAGTCTAATATTTGAGAGATGAAAGCTGGTAGTAAGGAATCAGGTTTATTCAAGGGCGGGCTCTGGAAAAGCCAGAGGGGCTATCAACCTCAAGCTCCAACACGGGACCTAGGGATGCACAGAGCTTTTTAGGGAGGGGAAGGAGGAGCCAGGTAGGAAGTCTCCAGGTCGAACAGAGTCTTCATCATCCAGAGTATGTTTCTCCTTTTCTTTCCTTCCTTTTCTTCTCTAGAATGTCCCAGTGGACCTGGACCTCCTGGGGCTGGCTCCTATAGTTCTTTTTTTTTTGCTACCGGGGATCAAACTTGGGTCCTTGTGCTTGCGAGGCAGGCGACGGAACCACTGGGCTAAATCCCCGGCCTACCTATAGTTCTTTTTAGACAAGGTATTACTTTTTGCAGGTTATACCTCACATCAGTTTCCATGGTTTGTGTGAGTTGATGCATAGAAGTAAGGAGGGGTACTACAAAGGTCACCAGATGTTCTGGGTTCTGTAAATCTGGAGTAAGATTATTTAGCAGTTAATGTCTTAACCATTTTAGGTGGGGCTTCTTTCTAGAATTTAGAATGCTGGGCGAAAGGGAGAAGATGACGTAAAAGGGATTAGGAAGGGACAACAACCTTGGGGAAGGGTGAAGGGAGGGACTGTGAAGGGCAACTCCCCAAAGGAGTGGCCCTGTTACACCAGGGCTTCTCTTATTACTGTCAGGTCAGGCTGTGGTTTACAACAAGCATTCTTTTTATATATATACACACATACACACATACATATATAAATAATATATCATATACAAATTTATTGGTACATCTTAATTTTATAAAATACGAGGTTTCATTGTGGCGTTTTCATAGATACACCATATTCTAATCATATCCATCCCCTTTATTACCATCCCATACACCCCTGCAATCTCAGTCTTCTTCTATAATAGTCTTGCTTGTCACCTTTTTTTTTTCCTCAGAGATTCCACATATTAGGGAAAATATAATGCTTGTCTTTCTAAGTCTAGCTTATTTCACTTAACATGATAGTGTCCAGTTCCATCCATTTTCCTGTAAATGATATGACTTTGTTCTTTATGGCTGAGTAATTCTCCATCATAACAAGCATTACTGAGGAAGGATAAAGTAGACAGACGTTACTTTTCTGCAATTACATAGCTCATCGGTTTCCATGCTTTGTGATTTGATACATAGAGTGTTACAAAGGTCACCAGGTGTTCTGAGTTCTGTAAACCTAAAGAAAGATCACTTCGAAGTTAACATCCTAACCATTTAGGTGGGGTTTCTGTCTAGAATTCAGAATGCTTGGGAAGAGGGTAGGGACGGAATCTTTGCAAAAGGATTAGGAAAGGGCAGAAGGGCAAAGGGAGGGGGAAGTGAAGAAACTCTGCCAAGGACAATTCCCTGAAGGAGCAGTTCTCTTACACCTGGGCAGGTCCATTTGTGCTTTGTAGGTAGGGTGACTTTATAACTTATTATCCAAATTGTAATTTGTCTGGGACAAATGCCAAACTCTGGAACATCAACACAACAGTCATAACTGCCCTGGAGACACAGACATAGAGATGTGTTTTTATTATTGTTTTTGTTTTGGTTTTTTTCCTAGAAGCACTTTGCACTATGGGCTTCCTTCACAATGTCTCAAAGTCTTTATGAATATACACATGAATGCTGGGAGTAGGTGTGGATCATGGTGGGAGGTCCAAGTATAAACTGATTTATGATAGTCCCATTTGCGATTGTTCAACTTTGCCATGGTGTAAAAGTGATATGCATTTGATAGGAATCAACTTCAAATTTTGAATTTCAATCTTAACGTGGGCTAGTGATACACAGCCTCTCTCAGGAGACTGGATGGCTCCCCACTAGCCACAAGACCACATGGGTGAACAACTGACACTCTACAGTGTACTGTGTTGCTAAACTGTGACATTCAGTAGATTAGGTGTGTTAAAAGCATTTTCAACATACAATGGGTTTATCAGGAAATAACTCATCTCAGATGGAGAAGCATCTGTATTCTCAGTTATTCCAAGCAGAACTGCCCTTTTCTTCTAAATTTCTTTGCTTTAGTTTTTCTTCAGAGGATTGAGATTGTGAATAGCATCTCAGAGCAAGCTGCACATTGATGTTGGCATCCTACAGCTAAGGAAGCAGGTGAGAGTGTATTTATCAGGGGCCTTTGGAATTTATATGCCCTGTACAATTGTGTGGTATGCACCCTGCACAAATATATGCAGCAACCCTGTGTGAATACCCTGGCGAAGGTAAGGAAGGGTTGGGACATGAAAGCAGGATTGTTTCTAGGGAGCTAGGGACCCCTCCCAGCCAGACACTTGTAAGCAGATTTAATCTGGAGAAGGTGGAACTCAAGTTGGCCTAGGTCAGAGGGAACTGAGGTATATAAGCCCCAGGAGCAGCAGTAGGTGGATTGTAATGGCAGAGAGACGGAGAGGAACTGGTGGTATCTCCAGCTGGAGAGCACAGGGTGACAGGTCAATATGGATTTCCATTCCTTTGCATCTACTGGCTCCATGCCTGCCCCAGTTGGGTGAGGTGACCCTACCATTCAGGGGACCCAGAGCCAGGGTCAGGCTTGGGTGGCTAGGAAGCAATCGAGGTCACACTAGCTGCCTATATAGAGGTTTTAGACAGGAGGGCTTTCCCTGATCCACACCATGGGGAACTGGAACATAGGCCCAAGGGACCCCAGCTGCTACTACCCTTAGGCTGGGGGCAGGACAGGAAGCTGAAGGTTTCTGTCTTTCTCTGTCAGGGCAAATGAAGCCGCATCCTTCTGCTAGTTTTGGATGTTCCTCCCTTGTCTTCTCTCCATTTATCTTCTCTGGAAAGCCTGGTTATTTTCAGCTTTCTGTGTCATTCTCCTCTCTGGATCACAGGGAAAGGCTGTGGTGCCCAGGAGCACAGCTTCTGTACCAGATGATATAGGAGCAGAGTTCCAGATTTGTCACTAACTGCAGTGGGATTTTGGACAGTTCCTTATTTTCTATGTGTGGATGACAATGGTATTGCTGCAGGGTGACAAGATGAGCTCACAGGGTGTAATGGTCAGGACCTGGCTCAGGGTGAGAACTCAATTAAGCATCAGAAAGATGTAGCACAGTCTTTATTTTGGGTCCCACCTGTGTGGAATATGGGTAAATTCTGATTCCAGT